AGTCGGACGCTTAACCGACTGCACCACCCAGGCGCCCCAGGACTCTTTTCTCTTTTACTCGTTTTTTTCTATTATTATGAAACATGTAATAGTTTTCCTATGCTTTCATATTATACAAAATTGTTAAGTTTTCTTTTAACAAATTCGTATACATTTAGTCAGTGTATAGTAACTGAGAGCCCCATCCCTTTCTCAGTAAGGACCTATATATTCTTGGAAAAAGGGGAGAATTCAGTATATCAGGGCACATCTAGGGAGTAGAAAACAGTGCAATGGAAGTACAATTCTAAGGGAAGGATTTAGAATGTTTTTATCATTTTTTTTTAGTGTTTATTTATTTTGAGAGAGGGAGAGACAGGGTGGGGAAGGGGCAAAGAGAGAGGGAGACACAGAATCTGAAGCAGGCTCCAGGCTCCAGCTGTAGGCAGAGAGCCTGACACAGGGCTTGAACCCATGAACCGTGAGATCACGACCCAATCCGAAGTTGGTTGCTTAGCCAACTGAGCTACCCAGGAGCCCCTAGAATATTTTTAAATTGGAAACATCAACTATTTGGAATTGAAAATCAACTGGAACAGGCTTAAAAACTCACTTTTATATTTTTATTTACTTTTCATGATAGTATCTAAAACGAATAAATCAAATTGACAATGTGTCTAGTTTACAGTAGGGATAATGTACTTCCTTTTGCTCATGGCCTAATTTTTTAAAAGTTCAGATGGGGCGCCTGGGTGGCGCAGTCGGTTAGGCGTCCGACTTCAGCCAGGTCACGATCTCGCGGTCCGGGAGTTCGAGCCCCGCGTCGGGCTCTGGGCTGATGGCTCGGAGCCTGGAGCCTGTTTCCGATTCTGTGTCTCCCTCTCTCTCTGCCCCTCCCCCGCTCATGCTCTGTCTCTCTCTGTCCCCAAAATAAATAAAAAACGTTGAAAAAAAAAAATTTAAAAAAAAAGTTCAGATGGCAGGGAATCTGAAGGAAAGTGGGGTAGAACATTTCTTTATGATTTTACTTACCTTATAAACAGAACTGCCTCCCACTACCCAAACCATGTCCACTTTATGTGCTAATTCTGGTTGCTCAGTAAGTTCTAAGGCATCATCCAGACTTTTGGCAAGAAAATGAGCTCCTTGTGGAGGTTCCCTGAATTTAAAAAAATTACAAATAATGTTTATAAAATCCATTCATACCAGTCAAGTAATCTGAATTGGAATAAGTAATTATAAAACCAAAATCATCATAAATATGAATTCTGTCAATAATAAACACTTAACATCAATATGGCCTATGACCAATAATTCAAACCATATTTGTGTATGTACGGTCCACAATGAATCAAAAAACAGAAACACTTCTGGTATCTTGTGATATTTATGGTTGAAAAAAAATCAGAAGAGTAGTGGTCTCTGGAGGGATGGGGTAAAGATTCACTGGGAAGAGGCATAAGGGAACTTAGGAGGGGTCATGGTAAAATTCTCCATTTTTGATATGGGGTTACATAGGTGCATACATTTGTCAAAATTTAGCAAAAATACATTTAAGACTTGTACATTTCATTGTATGTAATATTTATCTCAAAAGATGGGGCACCTGGGAGGTTCAGTTAGTTAAGCGTCTGACTCTTGATTTCAGCTTATGTCATGATCTCAGGATTCCTGAAATGAAGCCCTGCATTGGGCTCTGCGCTGTCAGCTTGGGATTCTTGCTCTCCCTCTCTCTGCCCCTCCCGAACTTGTGTGTGGGCGTGCTTGCATGTTTGCTCTCTTTCAAAATAAATAAACTTAAAAAAAAAAATTGTAAAGAAATATTGAACTCTAGTTAATGATATATATATATGCTGAAGTATTTAAGGGAAAACATACAGATGTTTCCATGTTACTCTGAAATGCTTAAAAAAAAAAGACCAATGGATGCATGGATGGATGGTAAAACAAGCATAATAAATTGTTAATGGTGGAATCTATGTGTTAGGTATACAGGTGTTTAAGGTTCTTTATGTTTGAAAGATTCATAAAAAATGTTGGAGAGAGAGTAGTATGTTTGAATGACTGTAGTTTGGAATGATATTCAAACTGTTCATATGTGATGAATGGGGAGTAAAAGACTTTTCATGTTTGAAATATAGAAGTGGATGAAGTATTAATAAGCATGTATATTTTTAAAATTAAAATCCAAAGGAGAAAGAATTAATTTCAGTGTTACATCTTCAGTTTAATTTCTCCCTATCTCCACAACTGTTTATTTTTTCCTGGGGGGGGGGGGAGGGGGTGGGTGGAGAGTGATAATTCCCTTTATAATTGAAGAAACATAGAATTTGACTTTCATTGTAATTAGAGAACAGAAATTATAATTCAAAGTCAAGTTCTTAGAGTGATGCTTTAAAAAATTATGTAACTGTCTCTGAACTAGTGCTTATAACAATGATTAATCAACAGCTAATGGAGATTACTAATTCTCTTCACTGCCTCCTCCCTCACCTCCTTCATAGATATTTTACTTATTTCACCCTTTGTCATCTCTAAAGGAGTAAGATAGCACAAAGAATGTATTTTGACTAAAAGCTGAAAAAAGACTCGCACACCAGGGTGAGGTTAAATGAGCCAAGGAAGTCTCTAAGGTGTCAGGGAGGCTGCAGCGAGTAGGCTGGACAAGGCTGTGTAGGGGGAGAACTGAGTCTAGATTTGAGCTTGGGGAGAAGGTAGTCTAGCTAAAGTCTAGAATGACAAACAGAGTCCAGGTGGTTTTAGTAACTGAGGATGCTGAAGTCAGAAATGATGACAGGTGTCAGGGAAGAATGAAAAATGGTGGTTTAGGATCTGACATAGTGACTTAGGATCTGACATGAGAGGAGAATTTGAAGAGGTGTCCTAGAAATTGGTGGGTTGTAGCAAAATAATTTAGAAGGTGGTATAAATGTTTGGCGTGGATTCAAAGAAAGGGGACAATCATTCTGTGTAGATTGTGGAACAATGGCTTGAAATGCTTCCAGGGCTTAAGGTGAAGACTACTTTTTTACCCTTTTGTAATGAGTCTGTTAAAGGAAAACAAAGACTAGATTAAGGATTTGTTTCAGATTTTAATTATCATAAAGACATGGAGGAAATGCTTCTGCAAAATGTTATTCCTTAGCAGTTTAGGAATGTTTGAAACACTTGACCCAAGATGGGTATAAAAATATAAGCAAAAAGTTGAGCTAATGTTTGAGCTAATTAGGCCACTGTGTTCACTGTGTTAAAGCACAAATCCTAGGAACACAGTGAATAGTATATAGCAAACACTCAATACTGTGACTTATTTCATTGCCCACTTTCCTTCCTCTATTTATCTCAGACTAAGAGAGATTGCATTCCCTGACAAGAGAGTTGGTATGTGGTTCCATATGTAGTCAAGCATGTGGACATCTTTGATATCTTGTTTCAAACTTAGAATCTTAGCTCCTGAAGAGGGCTGGCATGAGGACTAAGAGATAATGCAAAACAGTAGGCACACCAGTGATACTTCCATCCTTCTCCCTTCTCCAGAGAGGCTGCTTTTTACCTGGATAGTTACATTAGAAAGATCTAACATTTGAGGACCCATTTGCTCTCCCAAGTAGTGGGAACAGGTAGTACTTTATATGCATCAGACTAGCAGTCCTATGTAAGTATTTTTATTCCTTTTTATAGATGATATTGAGGCTGAAGGATTCAGTGGCCAGTGGTTACAGATCTAGGAAATGGTGGACCTGAGATTTGAACTCCAGCAGCCTGACATTGGGAGTCTGTGTGTTACAACTCCCTACATAGACAAGGGATTCAACTGGTGGCCATAGGCTACAAAGGTGTCAAATTCTCGTCCCCTCAGACCTCAGGATGGTGTGGCCTAGTTTAGCAGAGCCTTAAGACCAGTGTCCTCTGGCCTTGAGCAGCCTCATTTGATTACCTCAGGGTACCATATAAACATTACCTTTTCTCACTGTGCCTGATGTGAAAGATGATGTGGCAGATGGAATTCTGGCTCAATTTCCTAGACTGTTGGGAAAGCACTTAAAAAACAAAAAACCCTAGGCTAGAATCATATCTTAACCAGAATTCAAAAATATGTTCAATTTAAGACCTTTCAAACTCATTCTCTGAAACAGAATTTCCAACTAAAATTAAAATTGGTTCAAGCATGCTCCATCCTCATAATCGAATACTATGTACCCACTAAAAATATTCATAGAAATTAATCTTTCCATATATCAAATGGGGAAAAAAACAGGTTACAAAGTGATATTATGTGGGATCATCCTATTTTTATAAATCACCTAAAGACCATCCATTCTGTAAAAATTTCTGAACCCCTGCTTTGCTAGGGGATATACTAAGTGCTGGGATATACTAAGTGCCACTGTACCAGTGGCAGGCAGAGGTGTATCTCAGCAGTGGCCATAGTATGAAAAGGATATGCGATGGGGATGTGTGGAGGATGCCAGGTAGGCAGAGGTGGTACATCATCTGGGTGGGGTGATGAAAGAGAATACTCCTTGGAGAATGATCCCTTAGCTGACAGTCTCAAAGGAGATAAAAACATGTGCAAGACACGGAAGTGATGGATGACCACAGAGGATACTGAGGTTTATACAGAAGTTACAGAAGTTATTTATTTAACACAAGAAAGCTCCAAGAAAGTTGAAGGTAGAAGTAGTATGTAGTGAGGTTTAAAACAGTAAAGGGTAGCACAACAGAGCAAGGTCTTGAGACCAGGAGAAAACGGGAGTCTAGGATAAAGTGGTGGGGGCAGACGGAGGATTCTGGTTGACAGGAGGGGATTTTTGACTCAAGACTGTGGGAAGGAAGAACAAAGTGATAGATTAGGGCAAAAAAAGAGATCACAAGCCTGCTCATTGTGTTCCCGTTAATATTTTCTATTAGAGACCAAAGATAATTCTGCCAAAATAGAAAAGCTGGGACAGTAGGATCTGATATTGATAGGGTCCTTTCTGTGTGCCATAAATTTAACATAAAAAATTTCAATTAATCCTCAAAATCACCCTAAGAAGTTCTCATTATTAATCCCATTTAGTAGACAAGGAAACTGTCATTCAGCAAGGCATCAAGTTAATAGGTACCAGACCAGGTATTGGAAGCCAGGTTGGTAACTCTTTGCTGTACCAAGTGTGTGAATAGTGAGGACAGAAGAGAGAAAGCTTTAATCACTGTGGAGAATATGACCGTAAAAAATTATTATACTATGAGATGTCAAATAGCTTTCATGAGTTGAAGACAATTTACAACATCTTATATCATGAAGGAAATTTTGGATTTACTAAAGATGCTGTCAAAGCTATAGCACTGTGGTAAAATTTATTTAATTTTTGGTTCCAAAGCCTTAAAAAATTACTTTATTGTGCTATAAGTTATATACCATTCAATTTATCCTTGAGGATTCAACTTCTTACATTGAAGGGTGGTGGTGAAAAACTGAGTATTTCTAAAAGCTTGCCTGAGCAATAGCGATTACATGGGTAAATCTCTCCCCTTTAATTCAGAATCTAGCACTGTATGGCATAGAGCAGGTGCCCAGGTTATGTGTGTAACTGACCCCCAAGTAGGGAAGCAGAAGGAAGCACAAAAAATAAACTCTAAAATGTTTTCCTAACTGGTACGTTTATTTCCTCGGAATAACTGATAATAAAAACTCTGAAATTTTCTGTCTTAAAAAAAACAAGTGAAATATAGCAACAAATGTTATATAAGAAACAACCAAACCCAATTACATGCACAACAGTGGGGGGGGGGGGTCATAAAGAAGAAATTAGACTCATCATTTGTGGAGATTTGCTGGCTCAATTGAATATCCCCCCCCACTGAGATTTGTTTATATCTGTTGTAGCTCAAGCTAGCCATAAATAAACTTGAGTAGTATTCAAGAAGATGTTACTAAAGAGTCTCTGGGAATGGCTACACAGTCTGTGCATTTGGATTCTACCAAGCAAAAAAGATAATCAGAATATCCTAGCAACCAGAATAAAGAGAACAGTATAAAGACTGAGGCAGATGGCAAGATGCACATCAACTTATTCCTCATCATCCAAGGCCATCAATGCAAATATTCTGGTATACTTTCTTTCATGTTTTTACCTGTGCCATTCTAGAGGGGATTTGGGAAAAAAATCTATATAAGCCTGAACCCCCTTGGCCTACAGTTGTATAATGTTTTTTTCCCGCTCATAGTGTGATGGTCTTTGATGTGTTCACTTGGCTGGGCTATAGTCCTTGGTTATTGAGACACTAATCTAAGTATTACTGTAAAGGCATTTTGTAGAAGTGATTAAAGTTGATAAATCGCCTTCAATCTGGGTAGGCAGGATTGAATCAGTTGAAAGGCCTTAAGAGCAGCTCCTCCAGCTTCCCTGAAGAAAAAATTTCACCTGCAGATAGCAGTTTCAGACCCTGCTGAAGAGTTCCAGCATGCCCTTTCTGATGGTGTGCCCTACAGAGTTTTGGACTTGCCTAGCCAGCACCACAAATGTGTAGGCCAATTCCTTGTAATAAAGTCCCCAGGGCATTTCCAGGCATCAGGAACTATCTACTCCAATGTTAGATTGGAGGACAGGAAAATTCCTAGCAGAAGCTAACTGGAGACACTTCTCTTTCTTCAGGATCCCTAGGTCAATTCCAATACTTTCATTTTTTTCACCTGTAGACATTGCATAAAGAATACAAGTACAAAATATTATTTGGGTGTTGTGGTAAACTAGGAATAATCGGGCACAAGGTTATGACTGATTTTTAGCCCATCCTAAAATATCTATCTTACTGTATCCAGGGCAGGGTATGGAGAGGGGATAAACCACTTAATCTTGGTAAACCCCAAAACATATGTGAAACTAGAAAAAAGTTATTAACTGTATTGTATACATGATAATTGAGCCTATTGAGTAACAGTTCAAGGAAACTGGCAAAGCTGTTACCCCAGTGAGATTTAATGTAACTTTTCAGAGTGGTGAAATCAATCACTTAAGTAGCAGAGTGAAATTATTGTCATGTGGCATAAATAACTGCTTATTCATTTTCTGTAATCACCTTTATGACATTAAGCAGCGTGATCAATAGCGCTATATTTATACAATTTTGTTTTGTCATACACAGACCTCTACCATAAGAAATGGGACATGATTTTTTTGTGGTGAATTTGTGATAATACTTACTTGAGGTCTCTACTGAGAACTATATTAATTCTGTCCTTTAAAGGTCGATTCTTCTCCGGAATAGAGAACCATGTCTTTCTACCCATAATCACCAAATTCTGTTTACCTAGAAAATCACATAAAAATAAGTATATTCTGGGAGTATACATTTATATTTTCATATATTCATTTATATGTGCAGAGATAGGACTGTCACAGTGACACCTAGTGGATCTGCTTTAAAAATTAAAACTTAAAACAGGCTTACAAAATTGACATTTATCACCCATTTCCTAAATATACTATTTTTCTCTTTGGTGTTATCTGATTTATATCCAATATTTAGTTTTAATCAATTGCAATTATGTATAATAGTGAAGAGCCAAGATTCTGGGGCAAAGTGCTGAAACTGAATGTATTCAGTCATCTACTAGGCAAGTCACGAATCTTCTATGCCTTATGTTAATGGAGATAACAATAGTTCCTAGTTCTAGGGTTATTGTGCGGATTGAGAATTTAGAACATCTAGTAAGTACCGTTTAACTGTTTGATGTAATAGTATTATTCATTTGTATACTTTGTATTTATATTAGTAGCCATACTTTTAAAGATAGCTGTTTAGGATTCCACTCAATTAAAAAGCCAAAGTGCTTTCAATTGTGCCTCTATTTTTTAAGTAAAATGCTTCTATAGAAACTTTATACACCTAACTTCCATTTTTCATAGAATTATGTGGAAGAAAAATCTTGGGAGTCAGATATCTGGATCAAAGGAATACACACATTTCTATAACTCTGGGTATGTTCTGGCAGGCTATCAAAAGAAGTGCACGTGTCTGTTTTAAAGAATCATCATTAGTTTGAATTTCTTTAAACAAAAATACTAACATTTACAAAATACAAGTACACTATGCATTTTTCTGTATTTTACATCATTACTCATAACCAAATTATCACCTCCAAATGTGGAGACAAATTTTTTTCCTCTAAGAATTAAAACCCCAATAATTCATGGTGCCCCCTGTAGAATATGCACTGCATTTTCAAGGACAGAGCTTTAAGTGTTAATAAGGAGATATCAGTGATCAAAAATAACAGAGCCAAAAGGTGAGGAATTCTGATGAGAAATGGTACAGACTTGGCCTAACAACAAAGGTGGAGATAATGAGTGAAGAGCATAGGAAGACATTGGAAAAAAATTTAAAAAAAAAGAAAGAAAAAGAAAAAAGAGCAAAAAGCCAAGTCAACCTTGGTATCCTTTCATCCACTCATCAAAGAAACACTGTGTTTACTGAAAGCAAGTGAATAGGCCAGGTGTTGGATGCTTTTCCTATTACTAGATCATACACTGGATTCTAGAGTGGTTCATGTCAATTCTTTAGCTTCAAGCTCCTACTATCTTGTCTCTACCGGTGACCTAAGTGCAAGATCCAAGGACCTTGTACCTGTCCAGTTAAAGTTATGCTGCATCTGCTTTCCGATTGACTGTTTGTCTTTTACTCTACTATTTCTTCTCCTATGACCAAATACGTATCTCTTAGGTTTTCAACGGGCATCTCACCACTATATTCTCTTCCATGGTTGTCCTCTCCAGTGGCTCAATTCACCCACTTTGCTGTACCTGAAATTATCCTGGAGATCCCACAAATTCCTTAAACCTCAAAATTATCATTACACCTGCACACTCTTCTCCACTTCTTTATTCTCCATGTCACCCAGACTCTCAAACTGAAGATCTGAGAGTTCATCCTTGATTCTTTCCTGCATCACCTTCACCTTTCTGATCTCCACATCGAGTTCATGGAACTGTTTCTTTTTGTTGTTGTTTTTTTTACTTTTATCTTCTTCACTGCCTTCCAGGCCCTACCATCGCTTTTAGCAGCTATGCCAAAGGCCTCCTCTGGTCTCCTTCCCTGCTCTTTCACTAAAGCCTGTACCTAGCTGCTAATTCTGCCCAGTACCTCAATTTACGCGTGCCCACATAAAATTTCAAATAACTTTTTTTTAAAAAACGTGACAAACCTTGGGAACTGCGTATAAATCACTGGTAAGACAAAAGGTCCCAGATTAACATGGAAAACTTTTTATTTAAGTAAAATTTGCACTGATAAGCTTACTCAAGCAAGATGTTTCCCAAACCTCAATCACTTAAAAATCCCACATTACCTTCTACGGATGAGGTTGTGGTCATCCTTTGGAAATACTTGAATTCATTCCTATAAATTAGACAAACAGGGTTACTCAGAACATTATCTGGTAGGCTCAAGCCGTAACCCTCCCGACAGACGCTGCACTGGGGGGGGTGGGGAAAAGTCCTCGCCGGGCAACAGGAGCAGGACGGAAATCGAGAACTTGGCCGGCCGGCTCCAGATGGCGGAAGGAAGCCCTGGCCCAGCTCTTGCCTGCTCAGGTGAAAAGTCCGATCCCATCCTCCCAACCGAGAGTGTCTGTTAGGCCCCGCCCTGGTGCCGCGATCAAAAGCAACCCGCGCCAGTTCTCCCCGTCCCCCAACACCCAATCCAGCTCCGGGCCCGTAGGTACCTGAGCGGCGGCCAGGGCAGGTCCCCGTTCTTGCCGATGCCCATGTTCTGGGACACAGCGACGATACAGTTTAGCGGACGAACCATGACAGCCGCTGTGCACACCACACCGCTTGCTCACAACCCTGGGAATCCCCGCCGAGCTTGGCGCGAAATTGCAGCCATCCCGCCCCCTCGGTCCTATTTGTGCAGCCGAGACCCCGCCCCCTGCCCCGGCGCACGGCAGGGTCGTGACGTGCTCGCGCACGCAGACTGGGGGAGCTGCGGTGGCGTGCTCGCGCTCCCGCCTGGGCCCTGCCCCAGTGGCGTCAACCTGTGCTCTGCGATGTCGGGTCGGAAGCCTGCCTGTAGTCGCGCCGCTGCCGCCGGCCCAGCCCCTGCAAGGCAAGAGGTTTTGAGCAGATTCTTCCAGTCTACGGGAAACCTGAAATCCACTACGTCCCCCACGGGTGCAGTCCCGAAGGCCGGCCCTGACTCTGATTCCGCAGCGCCCCTAGCGTCCACTCTCCCGCCTCAGTTGCCGCCACACGTGGTGGGTTCGGTCCAGGACGTGGCGGGGCCAGCGGGGTAGATGGGGCGGGACTAGATGGGCGGGGACGGTGCTTGTGGGTGGAGCAGGAGGAGATGGGAGCAGTACGCGAGAATGGACGAGATGAGCCGGCCCGATGAGATAGGGGCGGGGCTCAAAAGGGAGAAGGCGGGAAAAGCCCGGCTGGTCTCCTTTAAAAATGTAGTTCAAAGATTGTACTTTCCCCTTGGAGTAATAGACTCGAGGCCAAGATCACACAAGTTCTTAATGGCAGACCTGAGAGAGGAACAGAGGGCTCCTGACTTCCTTTCTGGTGGCGGTAGTGGCCTGTGGGCAAAGGATACATCTTTTAACCTCCGTTCTGCCTCCTTTTTTTAAAAAAAAAATCTGGATTGAAAGTTGAAGAGAAGCTTTATATACCTTATTTATATGTACTTGGTTAGGTGACTGGAAGAAAATTGCCACTGAATCGCTAGTTTTTAAGGGTGCAACAGTGGTGCTAATACTCTCAAGCGACTAGGGTATAAAGGCAGTCATATTGTGCAGTTCCTCGGTGACTATACTCCTTACAGCTAAGATTGTAAAGTTTGATAGACAATTTGGGTTAAGTTACTTAAGGTGGTGCAGATGTGAATGGTTAGTCATTGGTTCCTTTCTGTTGCTTGCCACCTTTCAACTGAGTAAGTTAAGTTTGTTTTGTTCTTACCAGGGACACTGCCACCAGGGAAAACCTCAGGGTGAGCCCCTCACTGGGTCTCCCTGGTACAGTATTTTTAAACTGAGAATATGGAAAGGGATTGCAGACTGGCTTTAAGCCACCTTCCAAGTTTGTTTTGTTTGGTTGTTTTATTTATTTTGAGAGAGATAATGAAAGCAATTGGGAAAGGGGTAGAGACAGAGGGAGACAGAATCCTAAGTAGGCTCTGCACTGCCAGTGCTCATCAAACTCACAAACCCATGAGATCATAACCTGAGCCCCTCCAGTGCGCCTACTGAGCCACCCAGGTGCCCACACCCTCCGAGTTTTAATACGGATGGGGTGACAGCTACTTCAAAGTCTTCCTTTCATTTATATTTCTTCCAGAGAGTGATTGCTCCTCTCCTGTCTTTGATTTTTGATGATAGTCTACATTTTCATGAATACACCAAGATTTTATTTTATACCTAACATTTAGAGGTTATTTGGTGAAGATCTTAATTTTTGACAGGTTTCCTACCAGCACATAGGTCATAATCTTTTTTTTTTTTTTTTTTTTTTTTTTTTTTTTTTTTAAATTTTTTTTTCAACATTTATTTATTTTTGGGACAGAGAGAGACAGAGCATGAACGGGGGAGGGGCAGAGAGAGAGGGAGACACAGAATCGGAAACAGGCTCCAGGCTCTGAGCCATCAGCCCAGAGCCCGACGCGGGGCTCGAACTCCCGGACCGCGAGATCGTGACCTGGCTGAAGTCGGACGCTTAACCGACTGCGCCACCCAGGCGCCCCAGGTCATAATCTTATGGTATTTTTGGTGGTGAACATAAGCCAAGTTTGTATATGAATCAGTTACATTACAATTCACAATTCGAAAATGATAGTGTTCTTTTATTATCTACTTAATTTCACCTTTCCTAAATTGATATTTTTTGAAAAGGTATTTTATTTAACATAGGTAAGTAGGATGATTCAGGTTTTATAATCTGTGATAGGTGAAGGCTGACTGAGTACATAAAGCTATCAGTCTTAGTTCTAATTAATTGTAGCAGGGCTTGAGGTGCTGAGGTTCATGACCTGCCAGTCTTTACATTGTCTTTCATGATGGTAAAGACAGTTCACCCACAGTTCTTTCTAGAGCTGAAAGTATTTGATTCTGTGAAGAATGAAAGGCAAAGACCTTGTCATTCAGAAGTAAGGTTTAAATTATTTTGCATACATCAAGTTTTGAGATTAGACATAACACATCACTTTCCAATATAGGTTGTGGAAGTCGGCAGAAGTAAAAAGAGACCACTGGAGAATGATGGGCCTGTTCAAAAGAAAGCAAAGAAAGTCCAAGAAAAGGAAGGAGGGAGTGATTCAGTAATGTCTGGGAATGTTGGTGAGTCTTGGGGCGAGGAGTTTTCATTCTCAGGAGTCATGACACTGACACTGTATTCTCCAAAGAGCAGAGGAGGTTATTGGAGAATTGTGCCATTTTTTCCCTTTGTGGAAAAAAGATCTCCATTGCGCTTGAGTAGTGTGGACCCTCCATATGTGGTGGTGTGAGTAGGAGGTTGGGGGAGTGGAGGTAGAGCTGGAATTCTGGAATTTGCTGTGGTTCTTCCCATTTTCTGTTTTATTTCTCCTACCTAATTTTTTGTCCTGATTTTTAAAAATGTTTATTTATTTTGAGAGAAAGAGAGCGAGTGAGTGAGAGAGAATCCCAAGCAGGCTCCATGCCCAGTGCAGAGCCTGATGTGGGACTTGATCCCACGACCATGAGATCATGACCTGAGCTGAAATCAAGAGTTGGATGCTTAATTGACTAAGCCACCTAGGCGCCTCTGTCCTGATTTTAAAAGTTTTATAAAAATTTCAAACATAGAAATGTACAAGGTAGACCATGAAAGGACACTATAGTCACTCCCTTTTAGTGAGGCCTTATGGTAACACATATTTTGTATGTTATGTATATTATATGCTGTATTTTTAGACCAAAGTAAGCCAGAGGAAACAAAATGTTATTAAGAAAATCATAGGAGAAAATATATTTACAGTAGTGTACTGTTATTTATTGAAAAAAATCCCCAGTAAGTGGACCTGTGTAGTTCAAACCATGTTGTTTAAGGGTCAACTGTATTTTATAAATTGTATTATACTGTATGTACTAATTTACAGCTATCATTTTGCACTTAACAGAACACTTCAGATAGTTTTCAATGTCAAGGACATGTAAATCTACCCTGTGCTTTTTTAGCATGGCAGTGTTCTTTCTGTATGCTAAAAGTCTTTGGATAAAACCACCATTCTTGAGCTCGTGTACTTCTGGGGGTGGTGTTGGATTTATAGATGGCTGAGCAATGTTTCTTTAGTTTTTGGCCTCAGAGAGCTTGTTATGAGATGACAGAAAATGCTTCTTTCTTTATTATCCCTCAAAATGAGGTAGAGAATGAGACAAAAGAAAAGCCAAAAAAGTCTCATTTTAGCAGGTCAGCATAAAGGTATCTATCCTTCCTCAGAAGGTAAAATTTGGATTTGGGGTCAGCATGAAAGCCTTAGTATGAAATAACTATAGAGATGGGAAGGTATGCTTAAAGAGAAAGATAAATCTGATAATACTCTTTCTGTTGTCAGTAAGGCAGTCGACTTAGGATGTTTTGAAATAAGACCTTTGCTACTTGTTAAAAATGGCGCCGGGAAAAAGGGAAAGGAACATCTACCAGTCAAGCTCTTCCATTTGGTTTCCAGTCTTATTAGACCTTGTGCTTCATTTTCAATCAGTTCTCCTGCTGTGTTTTCACATTCAGTAATCTTCTGTGGTGTCTAATTTGCCATAAATCTCGTTCAGTGAAACGTTCGTTTCAGATATTATACTTTTCACCCTTAGAATTTCTACTTCTTTTAAAAAACACTCCTGTTTGTCTGTGTGAATTATATCTCAGTAGAGCTGTTACCAAAAAAAAAACCCCAACAAAAACCCAAAAAAAAAAAAAAAAAACCAAAAAAACCCACAAAACAAAAAACAAATTCAAAGAAACAAAACTTCCCTTTTGTTTTTTATTTTTTTAAATTTATTTTGTTCTTGTTTTTTTTCTTTACTTTTTTGATTATGTGGAATATATTTATAATATCATGTCTCTATATGGTAATTCTGTCATCTCTGTCATTTTTCGGTCTGTAACCCTTGACTGTTATTTCCTTCTTTTTTCATGTCTAGAAATTGTTTGGATCACAGATACTTTGGACTCTCTGTTAATTACATGTTAGGTTTTGTGTTTCTTTAACAAACGTTGGATATTGTTCTTGCAAGCAGTTAAATTCTTCGTGGATTCGTTTGATCTTTTTAAGAATTGCTTTTAAATTTTGGAAGAGAAGATTTAGAATAGTTCTTAAAGTTTGATTTTCTAGAGTTAGAAAGGAGTGCTCGGTAGCAGTAGCACATTATTGTGTAGTATTTCTACTACCGGGAGACAACAGACATTAATAACCTTTAGAACATAGGTAATAGTGAAGGATAGTAACACTTTTAGAAGATGATGAGGTTTGAGTATTTATTATCTTTGTTTTTAATATAATTTATTTAATTGTAAGTTTATATAATCTAATTTGTAATAATGGCTGTGTTTGACAACTGGTTCACAAAATTCTTAAAGATTTAACAGTTGCCTCTAGTAAGTAAGCCAATATCAACTGGCCACATCCAATACACCACTAGTATGTAAGCTAGTTTGAGTTTTCTCATGGCTTGAGTCTCCAAGGATAACTACCCGGAGGGAGAGTCAGACAGAAGCTGTATTGATTTTAAGATCTAGCTCCAGAATTTACATAGTGTTGCATCTGTATAACTGTCTTGGTTGAGTTAGTTACAAAGATCTGTCTTTGTTCAATGGGAGAGAACATATAGATCCTGT